GTTGAGGTTAAAGCATTGTGTGTGCATGTGAGCATCCCTGAGAGCAGGAATCTAACTTAAGTAAGCATTTGTGAAGCAGGTTTTATAACTAAAACAGAAAGGAGATTTATTTACAGGAAATACATTACAGGGATAGACAAAGCTTAACCCCTAGCTAACTATATCCTACCAAGGGGAAAATCAAAGAGTGTGTGCTCAAAAAGAAACATCTTTAAATCAGCAGGCTCTTAGACAAAAAGTAGGTGGGAGTGAAAGACAAAATAAATTCCCAACTCTCCATCTACACCCTATTGCCTGCTTGTAGTCAGTAGGTCATGAGGCCCTGAGGAGTCAATGCCATTAGATTAGGACCTCCAAAAATGGGAAGTTTATTACTGCTGGGTTTTAGTTACAAACCTCTGCAGGGTTGAAGGATGTATTAAAATGATTTAGGCCAGATGCCTGATGGTTCTGGTTGGTTTCCTGAATGTGCCTGGGGAATTTCTTATATGTTGGTGATATAGCTGAAGCTCAGCTAATCTTTGGAATGCAGAGATGGGTTAGCTAGTTGGTACTAGTAAGTTCTTTCTTCCTTCTTGCAAAATAAATCATCCCTTTGGTTTACTAGGGAGCCAAGAGTGATGGAGCAGATAGAAGGACAAGTGGACGAACTCTTAGATGAATCAAACTGAACACAGAGTGAGATCTGTCAGAAAGCCCACTCAAAATCGTATTTTGTGGCTATGGAGGCAGTAGAGAATATTTACTTCTATGCCTCTGTTGCATCCACACAGAACAGGCCAGCATTGTATTTCTTAACTATGAGGTATCTGCTTCATGAAGATGATGGAAGGGAGAGCCAGAACATTAGGTGCCCCACTAAGAACAATTTGCTTCTGTGGATAAATTCATCTGGAGTCCAGTGTTGGGACAGCTCATAGGGATGTAGCTTCAGCAACCACTTGTGTTATTTTCAATAGTGTTCAGCTTGAGATGTGGACGGTATAGGAAGACAGCTATCAACTTTTCCTTGTCCTCCAAGCTATCAGCCAAAATGGGACTAACTTTATGCTTAAGGGAAGTCATTGGTGCTTCCTTGTGAGTGGAAGGTGTTCTGTCCTGCATAAAGAACCCATCTCCATGAAGAACCCAGAAGGGAGTCCTTTCTTGGATTCTTCCAAGCTATGGAAAGGACTCCCTTAGGAGTCATGTTTGGCCCTCACTGTCTTAGCCTTTCAAAAAAATCTGTGAAGACACAGTTCACCTGGCTTTTAATAGCTAAATAATTTTAGAGTCCATCTTACATGTTACCTTTTGTTCTGTGTTTTAAAATATTGTTAGCTGTCTCGAGTGCTTGTTTAAGCAGAAAGGCTACATATAAATAGAACAAATAAATTAAATAATAATACCTGTTGAAGAATATTGTTGAGAGACCCATAAAGTTTCCAAAACCTTAATATGGCAGGATTTACTTTACCATTACCAAAATACATATATTGTTTTCACTGCATGGGTAATATATTATGAAAACATAATTATTATCTGAGTTTCTTGAGACCACTTTAATGAATGGCTCAAATATAGCATTATTGTGCATTGGGAGGAAAACTAGATCATTAGATATTCCCACCTCAGGCTCAGAGTTGCATTCTTCTAATGAATATCAGATAAATGTGTTTCTATTTTTTTAAAAAAAATAAAGGGAATAGCTACAATGCATGAGTCAATTCTTTATTGACATGTCTTTATTTTGTTAATTATGATTATTCCTTCTGTACCACTCTCAAAACAGATGGTGCTTCCAGACTAGGCTTTCCTTATGCAATCACTATGCCTTTGTGGAATTTTTTTATAGGCCGCCCAGATGTCACTGCCTTCTATCCTTTCTTCCACTGTTTTCCTTTCCACCAAAAAAAAAAAAAAAAATTATCAGGAAGAAAGGATGGGATAGCTTTGGATTGAGAGTATTTGGACTTCCCTGCCTAAAATCAGCCTTAGTTATTAGTAAAAACATTTTCTCATGCTAAGGGGAAAAAAAACTGTTTCACAACTGAGTCACAAGGTACAGCTGGAAAAATCAACATACACTACCTTTCTCAACTCAAAAGCCTTTCCTTATTATTATTATTTTGCAGAATTTTGGAATGAGAGCAACCCATTTTATATATTTTAATTAAATTTCCAGTTAGATGTGAAAGAAATCAAAAGTTGCTGTCCATACAATGTCCTGCCACTTGTAGTTATCCTGTCCATGCACTGCATTATCGTCCACTGGTAGGGAAAGAACAAGTTTTACATTCACTGTGAAATGAGATCACATCCATTATTTCCTCAAGCACACATTGCTGGGAGAGGATCCTCACATGTTTGCTTTTTTGCTCATAACAACCACAGCTTATGATGGTTATTTCAACCTATTAATTCCAAGTATCATATCACTCAGGTGTAGAAGCCACAAATTAGGAAACATAAAGGGGAAAAAAATGCATAGAAGACCTGGCTGAGTTCGGAGCTACCTTCTATTAGCTAAGATCATGGGTCCATTCCTTTAAATATGATTACGAGAGCACCAGAGATTACTGATCCCCTAGGAAGAATTATGTGTCCTACTGTTATAGAGAAGAATCACTCGTTTGAAGGCACCCCCTAGATGAAAGGGCTCCACTTCTGTTTTAAATAGAAAGATCCACAAGAAGGGGATCTGGGGCCTTCAAGTTGCCCATCAGTAGTACCATCTGGATAACAGATTGAGCAGGCACACAGGCTACCCAAACATTGTCTTCCGATACGATGATATGCGTGATTGTGTTTCTTTTTATAAAACAGTAATTACTAAATTTGCATACATGCACACTCACATAAGCATGTACATGCTTTATACAATTCTGTTTTCTTTTGTCTTCTTTGGTGATGTGTTTTTTTCCCCCTTTGGGTGATACCTAAGAGATACCTGTATCTGTGTCACCCCTGTTCACCACCGAAGTAGAGAAAGCTCACATCAGTAAATATTTTACAAATCAGATGGATCATAGCCAGCTGAACTATTCAAACTGAGCAACTGAGGCTGTGGATATTCCCATCATATTGCATTAGCAAAGTATTGTTCTTTGAGGAAATTGCTGTGATGATTTACATCACCACATCAGCTTACCCAGAAACAAGATATTCATTTTACTGCTCTCAAAATGCAGGGGGAGAGCACCTGTGACATTTTGAATGTTACTGAAAGAGAAAAGGCCTCATCGTTTTATTAAAGCTTTAGTAAGGCTTGGCTTTGCTTTGCTTTGCTTTGCTTTGCCTGCTGCTTACCAGCTCCATGTGAGAGAGAAAGAGAGACTTTTGATGCCTGTAATCTCTGTCCAAAAGATAAGCATCAAACAAGCGATTACATACAAATCTAATGAGCATTAATAAATAGATGCTGGTCTTTGCATCTGGGCTGTGCTACCTTTGGATTGTACAACTGGATTTGTTCTGAAGTTCACAGGACCGAGACATGGAAGTCATTAGGGGGATAAAATTCATTTCAAGGATTAAGTTAAATATGAATGTATAACATTGTGAAATCTACACTACTACAAGGGTGTGCCCTTGCCCAATTCTATATGGAAATCTATATGAGAAATACTCTATCACTCTGGAATTTCAGGGGAATAATTAACTAATGGAAAACAATTGGAACAATCAGAAATCGAAGACTTGTGTCCGTATTTCTATATCTGTGCGTGACAAATCACAAGAAGCCAAGTTTGGTTCAAGTAGAACCAGATTGAGCCAATAACAGATATTGCTTCAGCCTGTTATTTAATTACTCTGCATACTTTTGTGTCTCTTTGATCTCTTTGACTCTAAGCAGCATTCTCCTCTTTTTCCTTCTCTGTCTCATACAAAATGTTTGCCTACAATAAAACAACAGGTCTGAAATACAGTGCTCAGGAAAAGGAGCCCTTTGCAGCTTTCGCTGAGGGCATCCCATCCATGGCCAAACATGTTCTCATTGCATAAATCCTCTCAGAAGACTTCAGGAAGAGTCAATTACTTGGAAGGTTCTAGAATCTCTTTAGCTACAGACCTTTCTTCCCTTCTCAAAAAGAGGATACTGAATTGCCCCAAATCTGTGTCATTTTTGGAAATGGGCAGAGCCAACTTCTACTTGTCCAGCATGGAAAAAAGGAGTTTTATAATGAGCTGGAATCCTCAGACGGGTTGTAGGTTGGTTCCTGGTGGACTCAGAACTTTGGGGATTTTTGGGGCAAGGGCTAGAAAGCAGAGAGAACATCTCTGTGTAAGGAAACACAACGCCAAAGAAAAAAAGAGGATAAAGCCAACCAGATAACACAGGCCTTTGGGGGGTGGGGGTGGGGATATGGAAAGACTCCATAGACCTGCCCCAGTTTTCTGCTCCAGTACTTCCCAATTGCAGCAAGACAGGCTGGGCACAACACTGTAATTCCTTTCATATCTCTCTCATTCCATGTCGTGGTGCTCAGTGGCACCTGTGACATGTTGGATGAAGTGGAGCAAAAGGACAGTAACTGAGGCAAACACGCTCTGAACCTCTCCCCAAAGCCTGTTCCCTCCAACTCTTGCCTGCCCGCCCACCCACCAGCCAACTAACCATATGAGTCACCCTGATGGAAACACCTGCTGCCTTTTATACAATCAGCTGCCTCTTGGGTTCGATGCAGCTGACTTCCTGTGAAGCGCGGGTGCTGAAGGAGCATTGCTAATTATAAAGGGTGAGAAGAAGGGCTCATTATGAGATTAGAGCTACCCACCCACCTCATCTTCTGCCATCAACCCAGGAACAGAAAGCTCTACACCTCCCAGGGGCAATACAGATAAATCCTTGGGGATCTGGTTCCAGACAATGGACCCCTTGCCACGCTTACCTAAGGCTGCTGTTCTGTCTCTCAGCCCCTGAGAGGGGCTAGGAACAACCATCACCTGCTGCAGCTCCTCTCTGCTCCACCTCTGTGGCATCCGGTGAAGTGCTTCCAGTACAAATTGCTGCCTCTTACCTTTTGAGCATGATGCTCCTGGCTCTTCTTCATGGTAGAGTCTGGTTGCTACGCTCCCCCTGCCTGCGTGTGCACTCTCCCTCTTCCACTTGTTCACGAGACTGTCTTCTTTCTCTCTGCACAATGGGGAGGGCAGAAGGCAGCATCCAAAAAGATAAGCAGATCAACAAATATCCTCCTGATTCTCTTTTCTGTCTCTTTCCAGATTGCTGCTTCTTGATGGAGTGTAACTGGCACAGTGAGAAGAGATGTTAACACTCTCTAGAATAAAGCAAAATGAGAGAGAGAGAGAGAGAGAGAGAGTGAGAGAGCTGCTGGGAAGGACTAGGAACAACAGAAGCAGGCTAGCATACAGGTTTGCTTAGTGTGAGATGGATATTGCAGACTGTCAAACAGAAAGGGAAGGTGAGGGCAAATATCCACGCACTCAGGTCTGTGATCTGTGGACTAAGAGATGTCTCTGGTTACTGGAGGAGCCATTGGAAAAGGACGGATGCCTTTTCATGGGCTTTCCAAAGTCACTTGCTTTGCTTCTGCTCAGTGAAATGCAATGTTTGTTTTGAGCCACCAAAATCTTAGTTCATTCACACGTGCAAACACAACTATGATATCCAAGAGGTCACTTGCTCTTCAAAACTGCAGTGAGCTGTGAATCAAACAATTTAAACTAAAACTAAACAAGGAGGCAGGAGAGTAGTTGTTCCATCTGCATTTCTAAGTGAGCCAATCGAATGTACTCCTCCCCAACTTAGTATGTAGATTAGAGTGTAGTTGCTCTTCCCACTGCATATTTTTACAAATGGTTTTCCAGTGCAGTTATTGGCTAAACAATGCATAAAAAAGAAAAGCTTTTGGGGGAAAATACAGTATATACCAATTTGTGAGAGGGGGATGCAAAACAGTTAAATATGAATGTTGATGTAGAACATTGGATATAGTTTTGCAGAAAATAGGATGGAGAAGTTCTGACTGAACACATATGAAATGACTGGAAAGAGACTAATCTTCCCTGTTATTTAGGAAAGCTTTCAGAAACCTTTAAAATTTTTGGGTAGTACAAGGTATTATAAAAGCCATTTATGTGGTCTACAAGGCAGCAAAGGTGTTTTGTGAATGTGCTACCTTTCCAAATTCAAGTTTCATTCAAAATGTTGATCTTTTGCACCTGAAGTTCACAGAAATAAAAATTCCTTATGATCAGATTTTGATTTATTGCAGAATGCTCATCATAAATAAAAGAGAAGTGGACACAGCAACTTACACTGCAATTTTCCTTAGCTCAACTTAACTGTAATCTGTTTCTTTTATGACCTGTTTCTTAACGAACCTGTATGGCTGTGTAAGAGTAGAACCAATACAGATCACAGACTAGTTTGTTCATATTCTTCAAGATAGGTTTTATACACGGACAAAAAGATATGGTGATAGGGTGCTCTTCCTTTATTACAAGTACAAGACAATTCTGCAAATAACAACCTAAAGGAAGCAAGTCAAAACTCAAGTATTTGTACTGATATTCTACTTTTCTCGAGAAACCTTAAGTTGACATTTCCTTTCAAGGTAACTCTACCACAACAGCCTTTTGAGATAAGCTGAAGTGAGAGAGAGAGAGAGAGAGAGAGAGAGAGAGACTGGTTCAAAGTCACCCAGTAAGATAATTGGTCTGGTGGGATCCTGAATATGGGTCTTCGTAGTCCCACTCCAAGACTATAACCATTATGTGAGAGAGTATTACACTGGCATTTCACAGTCACATCTCTGTAAAATTCCTTCCTCTTTCCCTCATTTTGAAGCATGGAAGAAGTTGCTCTATCTCCATTCCATGAGTTCTAGGTGATACATCACTTCAGTGAATGTCATTCCTATGTGTAATTTATCCTTTCAGTTATCCAAAGCATCCTAAGTGCCTCCAAAGTTAGATCCACATGAGCCTTTAATGTAAAAGTGGAACATGAGCAGATAGTGTGGGGAGGAGGGAGTGGCACAAGTTTCAGTGAAATAAATCATTAATGTACACACAGCAATTCTACAAAAAATTGTAGAATTGCAGGAATGTATGAGTTCTTAAAGAATTTGGGAGGATTCTGGTAGACCAAGGCCTTGAGATGTTTATCAAGATAAAATCTGACTTCTCACTGCCATTACAAATGGGCAGCATGAGAAACAGCTGATCACAATGAAAACCCATCACAGCATTTATCAGATTTTGTAACTGTCCATTTGGAGTAGACTGCCTGCAAAATCCTATCAAATATTTTGAGGCTGATCCCAGTAGTAAAAAGGGACATTCTGAACTCTGCCAGAATCAATCAATGAAGCTCATGAGAGGTATTGGGCCATATTAGCTCCGGCTACTGGACACAGATGCTACCCTCTCCCTCCTCATCAAGGATATTGCAATTATTTTTTAGGCTCATTCAGCTCAGTTCCATCTACATGAGTAGGAGTGACATAAACAAATGAGAGGAAGGCAGAGGCTGGATCACTGCAGAGGAAAAACTTCTTTTTAGTAAGAGCAGTTTAATGAGGGCTGACTGAGGTTGGGTGGCCAATAAATTTAAAATAATAACAACAACAACAACAACCACCACAGAGCATAGGTGGGCGTGGAATGTTGCAAGTACACTAGATAGTTGAAGAACTAAAAAGGGCATCAGAAGAATATCCGAAGGACAGTGAAGAAGATGCACTGAAGCTAGTACATCATGAAGGCTTACTGAATACTGAAGAAACCAAACTCGCCTATAAGACCAAATGAAGAACAGAAAAGAGACACGGCAAGGCAAAGTATTACATGGCCAGTACACAAAAAATCTAGCAGGCAAAGCAGATAACAA